TTTCTTAGAAACTTTGGTCACGACTTTTTCTTGGTTTTATTTGATACACTGGAGAAAATGACAACCGTCCTAAGAATAAGAAACCTGCTAAATCCCCCTTCCCCCATATAAATAGGGAATGTACAAAAGGAACATGTTTGTGGTAATTTAAAATTTGTGACTAATTTTCTAATAATTTAAAAAGATACACTTTTCATATTATTTCGTTTCAGTTCGAAAAACCTTCTTTTGAGAATAAAAAGTGATATTTGTTTTTGAATATTTTTAATATTATTATTTTGTCATTTTAAAATGCCAAATGGTAATGAACAGGAATACGGAGACAATAGAGAAAATATATATAGAACAGGAAACAAATTATAAAAATAGAAATTAAGTAATTTAATAAAATTAATCAGGATTTAAATAGAGAAGGGAGAAGGTAGTAAGTAGACGTAAAAACTCCATTTTATCGTATAAAAATAGAAATATCGTGATTGAAAATAGTTCAGTTTCTTGAATTAAATACTAAAGCCTTTATTCTTTTTTAATCCCTACTATTAGATCACACTCACCATATATATGATATATATATATAATCTTTATCTTGTTCAAATTTTCAATCGTTAATAAAATACGTTTAATTCATTTTGAAATCAAAATACATTTTTTAAACTTGTAGTGGAGGATTTATCACACGAGAAATATCAGTTTTTTTCAAATATTAATTCATTAATTAAATTTTTTTCTTTTAATTTTACATTTATTCTAAGTTATTTCCGACGAAATATTGTGACAACTAAGTTCAACAGATGGTGCTCCTCATTTTCAAACATATATATTTTTAACTTTTTAGTGGATGACACGATGTTAAAACTGTTTTTTCGATATTACTTCAGTAATTAAATTTAACTAACTAAAATAATAAATATTTATTGTTGAACCTAAGTAGAAATTATAAATAAAATATAGGATAAATAAATAATATAATAAAATAAAAAGATTTATAAATTAAAAAATTTTTATATGACTTGTTAAATGTTATTTCTTTAAAAGAAAATATCAGACACAGTCATACAAAATATCTGAATCTGGAAGATTATTTACAATATTAAAAATATTTCACAAAATCCATTGAATGCAAGTCTTAGCATATTTAGTGCAAAAAAACTTTGATCGCAAGAACCCCGTACCTCAATGCTTAGCGAGCGCTCTACCATCTGAAAAATACGATTTAGAACATCAACAAAGACTTTAGAAAAAAATTAAAGGAACCACAAGATCATAAAGTAAATGGGATTAATTAAAGTTATAGCGGGTGAGAAACTAGAATTGAGTGAATATGAGTCAAAGAACGTTTAAGAGATTTTGAAATACATTGATGAATTTTGCTGGATTCATATAGTATTTATCACAATAAGAAAAATATCACACACTTAGTCATCAAAAGTAATAGACAGTGGAAGATGGTTTACAATATTAATCAAATTGAATTTAAGCAGAAAGTGAATGCATCTATATGTTAGTGCAAAAAAGGCATCTGGAGGCGCGGGGTATCGATCCCCGTACCTCTCGCATGCTAAACGAGCGCTCTACCATCTGAGCTACGCCCCGGACACCAACTCTTTTACTGTAAATAAGCACAACTTAACACTCACACAACAGCATGAATTAAATGGGAGAATTAAAGTTTCTTTGAAAGAAACTAGAATTGAGTGAATAGGAAACAGAGAACGTTTAAAAGATTTTGAAATAATTTGATGAATTTTACTTGATTCGTAATATTTATCACAATAAGATAAAATCAGACACTTAGTCATCAAAAGGAATAGAAAGTGGAAGATTATTTACAATATTAATCAAACTGTGTGTGTGTGTGTGACTTTAAGCAGAAAGTGAATGCATCTACATGTTAGTGCAAAATATGCATTTGGTGGCGCGGAGCATCGACCCCCGGACCTCTGGCATGATAAGCGATCGCCCTACCACCCGAACTAAGAACCCGGGTAACATTTGGTTTATTTTAAACAAGTACAACTTAACACAAGATCATACTGTAAATGGGACAGTTAAAAATTTTGCTGAGAAACTAGATTTGAGGAAATAGGTGACACACACAGAGAGAGAACGTTGGAAAGATTTTGAAGTAATTCGACGAATTTTGCTTGATTCTTGATATTTATCACACAAAGAGAAATATCAGACTTTTCGTCATCAAAAGAAATTGAATGCGGAAGATTATTTACAATATTAATCAAATAGATTTCAGGCAAATATTGATGGAATATATATATTTGTGCAAAAGGTGACCTTTGGAGGCGCGGGGTATCGATCCCCGTACCTCTCGCATGCTAAGCGAGCGCTCTACCATCTGAGCTACGCCCCCGCACATCATCTTGTTTATTTAATTAAGAAAAACTTAACACTCACTTAAGATCATAAAGTAAATCGGATAATTACAGTTACTGAGGAAGAGAAACTAAACTAGAAATTGAGTGAGTAGGAGACAGGGAAAAATGTTTAAGAGATTTTGAAATACATTGATGAATTTTGCTGGAAAAATAGTATTTATCACAATAAGAAAAATATCACACACTTAGTCATCAAAAGTAATAGACAGTGGAAGATGGTTTACAATATTAATCAAATTGCCTTTAAGCAGAAAGTGAATGCATCTATATGTTAGTGCAAAAAAAAGAACCTGGAGGCGCGGGGTATCGATCCCCGTACCTCTCGCATGCTAAGCGAGCGCTCTACCATCTGAGCTACGCCCCGGACACCAACTCTATTACTGTAAATAAGCACAACTTAACACTCACACAACAGCATGAATTACCAATATCTCGTCAATATGAGATATTAAAGTTTCTTTGAAAGAAACTAGAATTGAGTGAATAGGAAACAGAGAACGTTTAAAAGATTTTGAAATAATTTGATGAATTTTACTTGATTTGTAATATTTATCACAATAAGATAAAATCAGACACTTAGTCATCAAAAGGAATAGAAAGTGGAAGATTATTTACAATATTAATCAAACTTGTGTGTGTGTGTGACTTTAAGCAGAAAGTGAATGCATCTACATGTTAGTGCAAAAATGCATTTGGTGGCGCGGGGGCATCGACCCCCGGACCTCTGGCATGATAAGCGATCGCTCTACCACCCGAGCTACGAACCCGGGTAACATTTGGTTTATTTTTTTGACAAATACAACTTAAGTCTCACACAAGATCATACTGTAAATGGGACAGTTAAAATTTTGCTGAGAAACTAGAATTGAGGAAATAGGTGACACACACAGGAGAGAGAACGTTTGGAAAGATTTTGAAGTAATTCGACGAATTTTGCTTGATTCTTGATATTTATCACACAAAGAGAAATATCAGACTTTTCGTCATCAAAAGAAATTGAATGCGGAAGATTATTTACAATATTAATCAAATAGATTTCAGGCAAATATTGATGGAATTATATATTTTGTGCAAAAATGACATTTGGAGGCGCGGGGTATCGATCCCCGTACCTCTCGCATGCTAAGCGAGCGCTCTACCATCTGAGCTACGCCCCCGCACATCATCTTATTTATTTAATTAAGAAAAACTTAACACTCACTTAAGATCATAAAGTAAATCGGATAATTACAGTTACTGAGGAAGAGAAACTAGAATTGAGTGAGTAGGAGACAGGGAAAGTTTAAGAGATTTTGAAATACATTGATGAATTTTGCTGGATTCATAGTATTTATCACAATAAGAAAAATATCACACACTTAGTCATCAAAAGGAATAGACAGTGGAAGGTGGTTTACAATATTAATCAAATTGACTTTAAGCAGAAAGTGAATGCATCTATATGTTAGTGCAAAAAAAGACATCTGGAGGCGCGGGGTATCGATCCCCGTACCTCTCGCATGCTAAGCGAGCGCTCTACCATCTGAGCTACGCCCCCGGACACCAACTCTTTTACTGTAAATAAGCACAACTTAACACTCACACAACAGCATGAATTAAATGGGAGAATTAAAGTTTCTTTGAAAGAAACTAGAATTGAGTGAATAGGAAACAGAGAACGTTTAAAAGATTTTGAAATAATTTGATGAATTTTACTTGATTCGCAGTATTTATCACAATAAGATAAAATCAGACACTTAGTCATCAAAAGGAATAGAAAGTGGAAGATTATTTACAATATTAATCAAACTGACTTTAAGCATAAAGTGAATGCATCTACATGTTAGTGCAAAAGATGCATTTGGTGGCGCGGGGCATCGACCCCCGGACCTCTGGCATGATAAGCGATCGCCCTACCACCCGAGCTACGAACCCGGGTAACATTTGGTTTATTTTAAACAAGTACAACTTAAGTCTCACACAAGATCATACTGTAAATGGGACAGTTAAAATTTTTGCTGAGAAACTAGAATTGAGGAAATAGGTGACACACACAGAGAGAGAACGTTGGAAAGATTTTGAAGTAATTCGACGAATTTTGCTTGATTCTTGATATTTATCACACAAAGAGAAATATCAGACTTTTCGTCATCAAAAGAAATTGAATGCGGAAGATTATTTACAATATTAATCAAATAGATTTCAGGCAAATATTGATGGAATATATATATTTGTGCAAAAGGTGACCTTTGGAGGCGCGGGGTATCGATCCCCGTACCTCTCGCATGCTAAGCGAGCGCTCTACCATCTGAGCTACGCCCCCGCACATCATCTTGTTTATTTAATTAAGAAAAACTTAACACTCACTTAAGATCATAAAGTAAATCGGATAATTACAGTTACTGAGGAAGAGAAACTAGAATTGAGTGAGTAGGAGACAGGGAAAGTTTAAGAGATTTTGAAATATATTAATGAATTTTGCTTGATTCATAGTATTTATTACAAAAAGAAAAATATCAGACACTTAGTCATCAAAAGAAATAGAAAGTGGAAGATGGTTTACAATATTAATCAAATTGACTTTAAGCAGAAAGTGAATGCATCTATATGTTAGTGCAAAAAAAAAGCATTTGGAGGCGCAGGGGTATCGATCCCCGTACCTCTCTCGCATGCTAAGCGAAATAGCTCTACCATCTGAGCTACGCCCCCCACACCAACTCTATTTATTGTAAATAAGCACAACTTAACACTCACACAAGCATAATTAAATATGAGATTAATTAAAGTTTCTTTGAAAGAAACGAATTGAGTGAATAGGTCACAGAGAACGTTTAAAGATTTTGAAATAATTTGATGAATTTTACTTGATTCATAATATTTATCACAATAAGATAAAAATCAGACACTTAGTCATCAAAAGAAATAGAAGTGGAAGATTATTTACAATATTAATCAAATTGACTTTAAGCAGAAAGTGAATGCATCTATATGTTAGTGCAAAAAAAGGAACCTTGGTTACGCGGGGTATCGATCCCCGTACCTCTCGCATGCTAAGCGAGCGCTCTACCATCTGAGCTACGCCCCGGACACCAATTTGTTTATTTTAAATAAGCACAACTTAACACTCACACAACAGATCATACTTAAATGGGAGAATTAAACCGAAAAAGAAACTAGAATTGAGTGAATAGGAAACAGAGAACGTTTAAAGATTTTGAAATAATTTGATGAATTTTGCTTGATTCATAGTATTTATCACAAAAAGAAAAATATCAGACACTTAGTCATCAAAAGAAATAGAAAGTGGAAGATTATTTACAATATTAATCAAATTGAGTTTAAGCAGAAAGTGAATGCATCTATATGTGAGTGCAAAAAAGGCATTTGGAAGGCGCGGGGTATCGATCCCCGTACCTCTCGCATGCTAAGCGAGCGCTCTACCATCTGAGCTACGCCCCCACACATCCGTTTGTTTATTTAAGAAGCACAAATTAACACTCACACAAGATCATAAAGTAAATGGGATTAATTAAAGTTATAGCGGGAAGAAACTAGAATTGAGTGAATATGAGTCAAAGAACGTTTAAGAGATTTTGAAATACATTGATGAATTTTGCTGGATTCATAGTATTTATCACAATAAGAAAAATATCACACACTTAGTCATCAAAAGTAATAGACAGTGGAAGATGGTTTACAATATTAATCAAATTGACTTTAAGCAGAAAGTGAATGCATCTATATGTTAGTGCAAAAAAAGGCATCTGGAGGCGCGGGGTATCGATCCCCGTACCTCTCGCATGCTAAGCGAGCGCTCTACCATCTGAGCTACGCCCCCGGACACCAACTCTTTTACTGTAAATAAGCACAACTTAACACTCACACAACAGCATGAATTAAATGGGAGAATTAAAGTTTCTTTGAAAGAAACTAGAATTGAGTGAATAGGAAACAGAGAACGTTTAAAAGATTTTGAAATAATTTGATGAATTTTACTTGATTCGTAGTATTTATCACAATAAGATAAAATCAGACACTTAGTCATCAAAAGGAATAGAAAGTGGAAGATTATTTACAATATTAATCAAATTGTGTGTGTGTGTGACTTTAAGCAGAAAGTGAATGCATCTACATGTTAGTGCAAAATATGCATTTGGTGGCGCGGGGCATCGACCCCCGCATGATAAGCGATCGCCCTACCACCCGAGCCACGAACCCGGGTAACATTTGGTTTATTTTAAACAAGTACAACTTAAGTCTCACACAAGATCATACTGTAAATGGGACAGTTAAAACTTTTGCTGAGACACTAGAATTGAGGAAATAGGTGACACACACAGAGAGAGAACGTTGGAAAGATTTTGAAGTAATTCGACGAATTTTGCTTGATTCTTGATATTTATCACACAAAGAGAAATATCAGACTTTTCGTCATCAAAAGAAATTGAATGCGGAAGATTATTTACAATATTAATCAAATAGATTTCAGGCAAATATTGATGGAATATATATATTTGTGCAAAAGGTGACCTTTGGAGGCGCGGGGTATCGATCCCCGTACCTCTCGCATGCTAAGCGAGCGCTCTACCATCTGAGCTACGCCCCCGCACATCATCTTGTTTATTTAATTAAGAAAAACTTAACACTCACTTAAGATCATAAAGTAAATCGGATAATTACAGTTACTGAGGAAGAGAAACTAGAATTGAGTGAGTAGGAGACAGGGAAAGTTTAAGAGATTTTGAAATACATTGATGAATTTTGCTGGATTCATAGTATTTATCACAATAAGAAAAATATCACACACTTAGTCATCAAAAGTAATAGACAGTGGAAGATGGTTTACAATATTAATCAAATTGCCTTTAAGCAGAAAGTGAATGCATCTATATGTTAGTGCAAAAAAAGGAACCTGGAGGCGCGGGGTATCGATCCCCGTACCTCTCGCATGCTAAGCGAGCGCTCTACCATCTGAGCTACGCCCCCGGACACCAACTCTATTACTGTAAATAAGCACAACTTAACACTCACACAACAGCATGAATTAAATATGAGAATTAAAGTTTCTTTGAAAGAAACGAGAATTGAGTGAATAGGAAACAGAGAACGTTTAAAAGATTTTGAAATAATTTGATGAATTTTACTTGATTCGTAATATTTATCACAATAAGATAAAATCAGACACTTAGTCATCAAAAGGAATAGAAAGTGGAAGATTATTTACAATATTAATCAAACTGTGTGTGTGTGTGTGACTTTAAGCAGAAAGTGAATGCATCTACATGTTAGTGCAAAATATGCATTTGGTGGCGCGGAGCATCGACCCCCGGACCTCTGGCATGATAAGCGATCGCCCTACCACCCGAACTAAGAACCCGGGTAACATTTGGTTTATTTTAAACAAGTACAACTTAACACAAGATCATACTGTAAATGGGACAGTTAAAAATTTTGCTGAGAAACTAGATTTGAGGAAATAGGTGACACACACAGAGAGAGAACGTTGGAAAGATTTTGAAGTAATTCGACGAATTTTGCTTGATTCTTGATATTTATCACAAAAAGAAAAATATCAGACTTTTCGTCATCAAAAGAAATTGAATGCGGAAGATTATTTACAATATTAATCAAATAGATTTCAGGCAAATATTGATGGAATATATATATTTGTGCAAAAGGTGACCTTTGGAGGCGCGGGGTATCGATCCCCGTACCTCTCGCATGCTAAGCGAGCGCTCTACCATCTGAGCTACGCCCCCACACATCATCTTGTTTATTTAATTAAGAAAAACTTAACACTCACTTAAGATCATAAAGTAAATCGGATAATTACAGTTACTGAGGAAGAGAAACTAGAATTGAGTGAATATGAGTCAAAGAACGTTTAAGAGATTTTGAAATACATTGATGAATTTTGCTGGATTCATAGTATTTATCACAATAAGAAAAATATCACACACTTAGTCATCAAAAGGAATAGACAGTGGAAGGTGGTTTACAATATTAATCAAATTGACTTTAAGCAGAAAGTGAATGCATCTATATGTTAGTGCAAAAAAAAGGAACCTGGAGGCGCGGGGTATCGATCCCCGTACCTCTCGCATGCTAAGCGAGCGCTCTACCATCTGAGCTACGCCCCCGGACACCAACTCTTTTACTGTAAATAAGCACAACTTAACACTCACACAACAGCATGAATTAAATGGGAGAATTAAAGTTTCTTTGAAAGAAACTAGAATTGAGTGAATAGGAAACAGAGAACGTTTAAAAGATTTTGAAATAATTTGATGAATTTTACTTGATTTGTAATATTTATCACAATAAGATAAAATCAGACACTTAGTCATCAAAAGGAATAGAAAGTGGAAGATTATTTACAATATTAATCAAACTGTGTGTGTGTGTGTGTGACTTTAAGCAGAAAGTGAATGCATCTACATGTTAGTGCAAAATATGCATTTGGTGGCGCGGAGCATCGACCCCCGGACCTCTGGCATGATAAGCGATCGCCCTACCACCCGAACTAAGAACCCGGGTAACATTTGGTTTATTTTAAACAAGTTCAACTTAACTCTCACACAAGATCATACTGTAAATGGGACAGTTAAAAATTTTGCTGAGAAACTAGATTTGAGGAAATAGGTGACACACACAGAGAGAGAACGTTGGAAAGATTTTGAAGTAATTCGACGAATTTTGCTTGATTCTTGATATTTATCACACAAAGAGAAATATCAGACTTTTCGTCATCAAAAGAAATTGAATGCGGAAGATTATTTACAATATTAATGAAATAGATTTCAGACAAATATTGATGGAATATATATATTTGTGCAAAAGGTGACCTTTGGAGGCGCGGGGTATCGATCCCCGTACCTCTCGCATGCTAAGCGAGCGCTCTACCATCTGAGCTACGCCCCCGCACATCATCTTTTTTATTTAATTAAGAAAAACTTAACACTCACTTAAGATCATAAAGTAAATCGGATAATTACAGTTACTGAGGAAGAGAAACTAGAATTGAGTGAGTAGGAGACAGGGAAAGTTTAAGAGATTTTGAAATACATTGATGAATTTTGCTGGATTCATAGTATTTATCACAATAAGAAAAATATCACACACTTAGTCATCAAAAGTAATAGACAGTGGAAGATGGTTTACAATATTAATCAAATTGCCTTTAAGCAGAAAGTGAATGCATCTATATGTTAGTGCAAAAAAAATGAACCTGGAGGCGCGGGGTATCGATCCCCGTACCTCTCGCATGCTAAGCGAGCGCTCTACCATCTGAGCTACGCCCCCGGACACCAACTCTATTACTGTAAATAAGCACAACTTAACACTCACACAACAGCATGAATTAAATATGAGAATTAAAGTTTCTTTGAAAGAAACTAGAATTGAGTGAATAGGAAACAGAGAACGTTTAAAAGATTTTGAAATAATTTGATGAATTTTACTTGATTCGTAATATTTATCACAATAAGATAAAATCAGACACTTAGTCATCAAAAGGAATAGAAAGTGGAAGATTATTTACAATATTAATCAAACTGTGTGTGTGTGTGACTTTAAGCAGAAAGTGAATGCATCTACATGTTAGTGCAAAATATGCATTTGGTGGCGCGGAGCATCGACCCCGGACCTCTGGCAAGATAAGCGATCGCTCTACCACCCGAGCTACGAACCCGGGTAACAATTGGATTTTA